CTCCTACAGAAAATTTCCCAGCTATTACAATGGCTGCTTTGGGCAGTGGACTCTATGGCATTATACCCTGCTGAAGTCCCTCCACACCCCAAACCCTCCCCTCCCCAGGCTCCACCCCTCAAATCTACAGGTATTTCCCAACCCAGAGTTGGCAACCCTGTAACTGGCTATGGAACTGCTTTCCAGACCCTTGGAACCCAGAAGACATGGCCTAGGAGGAGGTGCTTTACTACCTTAGTTGTCACCACATAACCCCAAATCAACATAAGTCAGGGGTGGAGGGAACCATACCTGTTATCATGAGGCTGTCCTCCCATACTACCCACTTGGGGCAGCAAAATGACTTGAGACAGCCCTGCCTTATAGCTAAGCAGAAGGAAATAAACACGGCTTGCCTCCCTCTATTTTCCCCTTCCCTCTGCCACATCACCAGCCACAGTTGGGACACTCAGCTGGAGCTTCCTTCTAGAGGCCGTTGTACTTCTTCCCACAATGGGTCTTACTCCTAGTACACTAATATTCCTCATGAGGAAGTGCGGCAATGCATTCAATCTGCTTTAGAACACAGAGCTCCAAATGTACCTCCTACAGATTTTTGATGGACTTGGTTGACATTATTTTTGAAAAGAGTTTCTTTAGATTTCAGGATAATTTTTATTTACAGATTAGAGGGGTGGCCCTAGGTAGCTCCTTCACCCCCAGTGTGGCTAACCTATTCACGGCACGGTTTGAATTAGATTGGCTTTAGAACCCCTTAACTAGTCCTTTCTTTCAATATATTTTCTTTTAAAAAAGATTTATTGATGATCTGTTTCTAGTTTTCATCGATATGTCTAAATTTAATGAATTTGTAAATTGGCTTCATCATTTACACCCTACTATTACATTTACTTCTCATTGTAGCTCTTTGGAAATTAACTTTCTGGATACTACAGTGTTTATTACAAGTGCTGGTAACTTGGCAGTTCAACCGTATACTAAGCCCACAGATAGGAATTCATACCTTTACTTCAGCTCTTACCATGCGAGACATCTAAGGCACAATCTTCCTTTTGGTCAGGTTGATGTTCAAAAAATGCTTTATAGACACGAAGCATTTTGAATCCGTTTAAAATCCTTCCACCCATATGGTCTTAATTATGATATGGAACTTTCTTGTTTTTTGTAACTGGGGAGTTTTGGGGCTGCTAATTAACAGTCTTAGCATCATATTTATGTGGAGGCATACCAGCATCTGAATGAATTTATGCTTCTAGCAGCCTGACTGGTGCCCACCAATAAATTTGCTGACCTGTGATTTATTCTCTTCTTGATATCGTATTGGTGAGCTGCATTAGTAACATTGTTTGTATATATGTTTTTTTATATATTTAATGTTCAGTTTGATTACTATGATGAATTTTTCTTTATAGACAATCAGGGTATTGATTCATCTTAACAAATGAAATAGACCTGTATGAATAAGAAATAGCAACAGTCTATGTGATAGTATTAATTTTTACATATATCTTTTTTATTATACATTCATTATTCAGTGTCCAGTCTATTATGCATTATTTTGCCAGCAAAATGTATTTTTCTACCTCTCTATAGTTATAAATTTCTGCTTCTGAAGAAGTTCTATTAAACGAAGTATCATTCCGGGGACTTTATAATTTATATACATTGATACTTTGCATATTTATACATATTGATATTTTATACACCTTGATATTACATATATACATGATCTCTATATTGTTACTTTTCGTATTATCTGTATATTTCTTCTTCTTGTATTCATTGTTCATATTGGTTGTAATTTTGATAAATTGTATTTTCATTTGTTAGCGTCTCTTTCCCAGCTTTTTTCCACCCTTATTGGCTTCAGCTGGGTAGTCTCTGGGCTATTACAGTGTGGGATGGGCAGCATGTAAGCCTAATAAAATAAAATTAAAAAAAATAAAATACGGTGCCATATATCATCTGAGACCAGTCCCCAGACCAGATCGGTGAGGCCAATCAGGTGGGACACTTGGAGGTCTGTGGACAGAGTTTCTCAGTGTTTTTAAAGGGGAAATAAAAGTGATGGGATTGTCAGTTGGATGAGACCTAGGGTGCATGTGGGGAAAGAGGGTTTAACTTTTACCATTTGAAGCCGACCACTCGGGGGGGGGGCAAAGAGAAGATCCCCTGGATTTAGTCCCCTCCACAGGGCAGATCCAATCAATGATTAGGTCCTACAGTTCCACTCTGATCTTTCTTCTGAGGTGTTGAGAAAATCTGAAAAGGTCTTTGCTTCTGCTTTTGTGGCATCAGAAACTCTGTTGATGGGGATTCCTGTTTAAACATTATTGTTACAGACAGTACCAATTTTGTGGTTATGTGCCAGTCAAGAGAAGGTGGTTTCTGGATCAGTGATTAAAAGTGTGGGGCCAAACTCAGAAACAGCAAAACTGGAATGTGTGTGTGTGTAAGAGAGACAGATAGACAGACAAACAGACAGGCAGAGCGCATAAAGGGTTACTTGTTTTCAAAAATGGAGAATGCAAGTGGAAGAATCCAATCTTATCTTATTTTTTTCCAGCTCAATGTGTAATGTTTTGACAAGTTGTCAGTTTCGTTCTTTGGAGTCGATTCCGGCTTATTGCAAAGCTATGTGTCCATTTTTAATTTATGAAATACAGAATAAAATAGACAGGCTCCGATACACGCACCCCTAGATGATTTAAATGTGCGGGTGTGGCTGCAGAGGAAGAAGCGTTCTAGAAACTTATCATGCCAGTTTGGACAAAATGTAGGTGTTTGTTTATTTGCTGTCAAGATGGGAACAGCATCACTCATCTTCTTTGACAGGGAACAGTTTTGGGCAGCGATTCATCTGGCTGCTCTTGGCTCCCAGGGATTCGAGTACCCCAAGGTTTGGCGGAGGGAACAGGCGGGTTTGTTTGGTCTGTTTTGATGCTGGATTTACACCATGTAGAGTGGGAACTCTATGCTATGGGGCGTTCTTTTGATCTTACTCATTCATTCCGGAAGAGAAGATCAAACGACTTCCCTGTCCCCCAGAGCCAAGATATGAATAAAATGCTAAAACAGATTTTAAAAAAATACTTAGCACATTATGGTGGAAACGTCTATTGCCCTGTAGTTTTAATAAAGAGCCTGGCCACTTTGGGTCTAAACATTTCCTATTGCAGGAAGCCCACATGGGAGGAGATCAAATATTTACTAAAACTGTCTCTGTCGTTTAATTTTTAGGAGCAAATATCAGTACTTTTACTTTTATCCTCCTCAAAAAATTAATTATCCTTTTCCCTGATCTACAGCTGCTTTGGTATCACCTCTCTTTTTTTAAAGAAGGCAGGGCCCTCTTTCCCCAGGGAATGGCCGTCCCAACCAATCAGGGACCACATCGTGGCCGTGCGGATGTGAAGAATGCTGTGAAGCCAGGCTGATTTGTCTATATGGCAAGATTACAAAGCCACTTGATGGTGGGAACAATAATTCTTGGATCAATATCACCCTTCCTCTGAGTGGATAAACACTCAGAACCGGCTGAATTTTAGAGTGACTTCCCAAAAGGAAACAACTCTAAGTGGAAGGATTTTTTGTGTGAACAGCATCCCTTTTTTTCAGCAGAGGCTCTAGGGTTGCCCTTGGTTTTCCAGTGGTTCTTACTAAAGTGATACGTACTAGGCCTCAACATGTGGGCGGAACTCATCCAAAGAAAGATATATCATGTGAAAGTCATTGGGCCGGGGGAGAGAAATGACTTTATTCTAGCTTTACATTAAAAAAATATATATATCTTCTGGTATCTGAGGCCATACCCCTGATCTCTCCATACACAAAGATCAGGCCGCAACTAGGGTTGCCAGACAACACGTTAGGAGGGTTGGGACCAGTGTTCCCTCTAAGCTGAGTTAGTGTGAGCTAGCTCATAGTTTTTTAGCCTCTGGCTCACACATTTTTGTCTTTGCTCAGGAAGGGTGGCTCCAGAGCAAACTGATTTGTGCAGTAGCCAAATCGCTCACTCCCAACTTTAAGGCCAGTAGCTCACAAAGTAGAATTTTTGCTCACAAGACTCCACAGCTTAGAGGGAACATTAGTTGGGACCGGGATGGGCGGGATGCGGCATTGGCTGCATTTCTATGCCACTTCTGGGTCAAACAGTAGAGTTTCCGGTGATTTCTAGAGCCACCCGACATCACTTCTGGGTTTACCCTGAAAGTGATGTAGTGACACAGCCAGCGTCACCTTCCCCCCCCCCTCTCCCCACCACTCAGTGCAGAGAGACAGGCCACTAGAGCTGCCGATGGGAGGCCAAAGTGGGTGGCCTGGCAGCCCTAGGTTGCAGAGAGACTGCTTATGAGAGTCCAGCATGGTGCACTTGAAGAGGATTTCCCCAGTTTGAAATAGTTCCAGGCCAGGGGTACTGTTTGGAGAAACATTCCCTGCCATACATGTGGGATTCCCCTAACAGGCCCAATGGCTCACTGTTCTAAAAAAAAATAGTCTTCTAAAGTTAACTTTATTATTCATTCTTTATTATTTTGAGAGCATCTAAGTGGTAGATCATTTTAGAAGAAGAGGAGGAGGAGGAGATTGGATTTATACCCCGCCCTTCACTACCCAAAGGAATCTCAGAGCGGCTTACAAACTCCTTTCCCTTCCCCTCCCCACAACAGACAGCCTGTGAGGTAGGCGGGGCTGAGAGAGCTCTGACAGAAACTGCTCTTTCAAGGACAGCTCTTGTCAGAACTATGGCTTGCCCAAGGTCATCCAGCAGGTGCAAGTGGAGGAGTGGGGAATCAAACCCGGTTCTCCCAGATTAGAGTCTGCGCACTTACTACACCAAACTGGCTCGCTTATTTAAAAAAATACAGACTTTTAATCCTTCAGCTTTGTTTCGATGAAATCTACCAGGTTTTTGCATTTGCTAAGGGGGCTTTTCCTGACCTTGAGATGTACTTTAAAAAAAACTTTAAAATACAGATAACTTCTTTTCCTCTTTCTAGAATGTATGAATTGCACAAGACTCACGGATATGGCTGAGAGGCTGAACACGCTTGAAGCCAAGGTAAACCCATTTCCTTTAGTAAGAATAAATAAATCATTTAGCTTGTAGTTGATTTTAAAAAAGAGGTTAAACGTATTCAAAAAGGTGTGAAGGTAAATTTCAACACTGGCTATTGATGACTAAATAGAATGTCCATGTTCAGAGGCTATATGCATCTTTATATCACTTGCTGGGAAGACAACAGGAGGAGGTGGCTCTGGCCGTTGGACCCTTTGATCCTTCTGGGGCATTTCTCTGGACACTGGGAGAAACAAGATGTTGGACTAGGTGGGCTATTGGCCTGATCCAGCATGACTGTTCTTACATTCTATTGAGAAAACTCAGGGGGGCTGTGTTTGAATCCTCCTCCTGATGCTCAAAATGGGCAATCTGGTGAAACTGGAGGAGAGGAGGGAACACAACTATTTATCAATTTAATTCAAAATTCTTTATAGTGTGCTCTCCACATAAACAGTGCTCAAATCAGTTTGCAGAATCAAACAATAAAGGAGGTGGAAAAACCCAATAATACAATAAAGGAGGTGGAAAAACCCAATTATAAAACTAGCTCGATAAAAACAGCATGAACCTGCACCAAAAGACTCACAAAACACAACAGCTCGAAGACATGAAACAGTGCGGAAGCATCGCTGGTCTTAACAAAAACAGCAGTATAAAAATGAAAACATGGCACAGCTGTTAGTGTCTCAGACGACAACATTAGAAGTTCCCAGGGGTCATTTCCTGCGGGAGCGCACAGGAGCGGAGCTCCGGCAGTAAGGAGCAGATGCGACAAGCCCCGCCCTCTGCACCCAGCAGCCCTCAGTCGGGCCACGAGGAGTAAGAAACAGCCAGGTAAGTTGCAGAGCCCCCCCACCGGCCTGCCTTCAGGTACAAGCTCTCCCTCCTCTGTGAGGACAGATCTGCGCGTTCCCCCCCCCCCCCATAGCTAGCAATCCAAAACAGTCCAGTGGAGCCTGAGCGGTGGGTGTTGCCTTCTGACACACTTCCGGTGATGTCGGGGTGTGGCATATGCAAATAAGTTATGCTAATTATGCTAATGAGCTTCTGCACCTCTTTTTCTACGAAATGACCCCTGGAGGTTCCAGTCCTCCCTCTGGCATGGAAGCTGGCTGGGTGACCCTGGCCCGCTTACTCTTTCTCACCCTAACCTACCTCACTGGTTGCTGTGAGGACAAGATGGGAGGGGGAGGACCACACCTCTCTGAGCTCCTTGGAGGAAGTCTTGGATAACAACCTACAGATAGATCAAAACAGAGGTCTAGAGGCTTGATAACTTCCTACCTGGACTACTGCAATACACTCTACATGGGGCTACTCTTGTAGACAGTTCAGAAGGTGTGTGACAGCCCAGTTAATTTTTTTAATTGTTTGCAGAGAACCCATTTAAACCATTCTGCTGTGAGTTGCATTGGATGGCAGTAGACATTTGGGCTAATTCAAGAGGTGATGATCTTTAAAGCCCGCCAATGAATCGGCCTGAAGTACCTTTCGGACAGCTTAATATGTCCCCACCGTCTTCTCACAGAGATCTTTTGATTGGATAATCCATGAAATCTGAGGCTCAGATTATATGGGGTGGGGGGTGGCAGAAATCAAGTTTGCCCAATCACATAGAACGGTGGGGTGGTTGATTCCAAGGCCACAAGAGGGGGTGTATAGGTGGGAGTGGCACAGAGCCCTCCCTCTGCACCTAGTTTACCTTTCAGAGACTGCCGATCAATATCACATTTCCTCCAGCCAGGCTCCATTACCAAGAGAGACTCCGGATGGGGCGCCCGTGGGGAGGTAAGCAAGCGGGGGAGAGGACACTGAGTGCTATGCCACTCTTCAAGGGTGGATCCATCTACTATTTTGTATTAGGGATGAGTGAATTTGCCCTCCCCGCTCCCAGGAACAAGCTGCCCTGACTGAGGTCTTTCACAATGTCAAATCTATATACTTATTGATAATACCAGATTGGCCCTTCCTTGACCTCCCAGGCTAGGAGGCTTAACAAATCTCCTGGATGGAATTACTTGCGGTTCCATCACCCTCCAGCAAGCAATGGCGTCCTTGTGGAGCTCTTGGGTTGCTCCCAGCCTGCCTAGGGAACCGTGTTTCTGGTCCGGCATTTGAGAGGGCCTTGGGTGGCCTTGGGGTGGTTTCTGTATTTTACTGAAAGATCAAAGAATGAATAACATGGACTGGAGCACAGCTTCTTAGAGAATGTGAATGTAATTTATTTATTTCATTATATCCCGCCCTCCCCGCGAAGGCAAGCTCAGGGCGACTTACAATCATATACAGGGGTCATTGCGTAGAAAAAGAGGTGCAGGAGCTCATTCGCATAACTCATTAGCATAACTTATTTGCATATGCCACACCCCCTGACATCACCGGAAGTGTGTCAGAAGGCAACACCCACCGCTCAGGCTCCACTGGACTGTTTTGGATTGTTAGCTATTGGGGGGGGGGACACATGCAGATCTGCCCTCACAGAGGAGGGAGAGCTTGTACTCAAATAAAACTTGGTCTTAAAGGTGCCACTGGACTGTTTTGGATTGCTAGCTATGGAAGGGGGGACACATGCAGATTTGCCCTCACAGAGGAGGGAGAGCTTGTACCTGAAGGCAGGCCGGGGGGGTGCTCTGCAACTTACCTGGCTGCTTCTTGCTCGACTGCTGGGAGCAGGGGGGCAGGGCTTGTTGCATGTGCCCGCCCCCTGGGCTCCTTACTGCTGGAGCTCCGCTCCTGTGCGCTCCCGCTGGAAATGACCCCTGGTCATATGTATAAGAATACATTATACAAATGAGATGCTGTACCAATAACAAAGTTAAGTTAATTGTTTGTTTGCATCTCAGAGAGGATGTGTGCAAAGATTGGGTCTTAACGTCACATCCTGAAAATCTTATTCCCAGCCTTCTATCTTTAAAAAAAAAAAAGATAACATCCACCCTGAGGAAGAGTCCTGGTGGGCTTGAAAGTACACACATTGTTTTGTGTCTGTTTGGTTGGTCCTAACAGAACAGGTTTTGTTCTTGTTTTTGGATCTTGGTTGGAGCTCTGTGATGTTTTACCAGGCTACTTCTGTCTGCACGGGAGTGGCAACTGGACTGGAAATCGATCTCGTAACGGTGGTGGGAAGTGCTGTCTAGATGCAGCCAACCTATGGTGACCCTGTGGGGTCTTCAAGGTCAGAGATGAACAGAGGTGGCTTAGCCATTGCCTGCCTCTGCGTAGTGACCCTGGACTTCCTCGGTGGTCTCCCATCCAAGTACTAACCGGGGCCGACCCTGCTTAGCTTCTGAGTTCTGATGCCATTGGGCTCCCTGAGCCATCCAGGTCAGGCTGACGGATGCGATACACCATCCAAAACCACGCTCACTGAACAGCAACCAGTCCAGGCACGATAAGTGTTTCTCACATCAAGTTTCCTGGTTTTATTACGCCGTCCACCCATACATTTTTAATAAAAATCCGTTGGAAGGTAGATAGATGGTCTTCTACTAATTCTAGTTTCTGGTCACTCCTATAACACTTCCAGTAATTGTCTGGAGCCGATATCACCCATCCCGTTGCGAGAAGCAGCCTCTGGTGATCCTGTCATGATGAAACAGCATTACCCAAACCTCAGAGATGATTGATTCAGTGTGTGATTGATAAATGACCCAGACAGCTTTGGCACGAGCGCTGTTTCTCATAACGGCATCTTGACTCTCCAACGTGTGCCAAAAAGGGGGAAAGAATCCTATTTAATATATGGTTTGGATTAACACTAATAGAAGAAAATCATGTCCTTCCCGTATACTTAAAGGCCCTGATCTCATTTCTTGAAAACGCCGTATAACCATTTCATTTAAGCACCTCCTTCTTTCATCGCTATATGTGTCTACGTGGCTTCTTGTGTCAAGGGACACAATCTCGCCGGTTGCCAAGGCTGGCTGGTACTTTATGGGCCTCTGCTGGCACCATCATCTCATTTACAGGACTCTACCTGGGGTGGGCCCTGATCTGGATAGCCCAGGCTAGCCTCATCTGCTCAGATCTTGGAAGCTAAGCAGGGTTGGCCCTGGTTAGTATTTGGATGGGAGACCACCAAGGAAGTCCTGGGTCGCTACCTAGAGGCAGGCAATGCCAAAGCACCTCTGAATGTCTCTTGCCTTGAAAACCCAACAGAGTCACCATAAGTCAGCCGCACTTTGCACCACCGTTGCTAGACCTAGGGTAGGGCAGACAGGTGTGCCACTGCACCTGGCACGCAGATCAAGCAGGGTCAGTAGCGAATTCTATGATCAGGCAATCACAACATTGTAGAATATACGCTGGGGTCTCTGATAACTTGGTAGTTACTGGATGCTGCTGAAGAGTAGTTTGTGCTTCCTCCGAAAGACCCAGGAAATGGTTGTGAAAAGGGTTTGTTCTAGGCCAGTGGTGGCGAACCTATGGCACGGGTGCCAGAGGTGGCACTCAGAGCCCTCTCTGTGGGCACGCGTGCCATCGCCCCAGCCAGGCCCAGACCATCATTAAAGTGTCGAATTCTCTGCCAAATAATTTTAAGTAAATGAAAGCATTTGGGATTCCTTTCCTTACTTTGTTTGGATCATCTTAAATTAATGTATGAGTTGTTTTTTCTAAAGTACAACCTCAGTATTCAGGTTAAATTGCTGTGTTGGCACTTTGCGATAAATACGTGGGTTTTGGGTCGCAGTTTGGGCACTCGGTCTCTAAAAGGTTCCCCATCACTGTTCTAGGCTGTTTAAATATTTTATTTCACAGAAATGTACCTTCACAGGAATTTTATTTCACAGGACTTTTCCTCTGTGCCGCTTAGCAGATGGCTTAGTTTCTGATCCCTTTCCTCATCCATGTTCTGTTTCTAGGACAGAAGAAAGCCTGGTAGTATGGTGGAGGGGCGGGGCTTGGGATATCTTTAATCTCTCAGAAGGAGCCTTCATTAAAGGTTGGGGAAACCAGATACACATCACCCAACGTAGGCCTTGGCGTACTGTGTTTTGCATCCAGATCCTCTTGCTTGAAGCTGCCGAGCGTGCCCCGCCTTCCGAGAATGACCTGCCAATGGCGAGGACGACTGCCACGTGGTACGATGAATTGCTGCCTGATGCCATTCCACTCGCTAACCCAGGGACCGCCCTCAGGAAGCCGATGGGAGCTGTAGGTGAGCACTGTTGCGAGGGGATTGGCTCCTGGTTGTCACGATGACCAGAACCACTGATGTAGCCTAGAACTGTTGGCGTTTACGCGGAGGTCCACTCTTTCTCCGAGAGTTCAGGAGAGTGTAGCACAGGAGATATCGCCCTGTATCTGACAAGGAAGACATGACATCAAAATGGGGATTTGGGGGGAGAGTCAAACAGAATGGATGATACATTCAGAACCATCCCTTGATCAGTTGACCATCAATGGCATCAGAGGTGGCCCAGCTGTTTTTCATGTTGACAGCCCTACCAAACAGGAGGTTTTCTGCAAACTGTTTTGCTTATCTCAGAAAACATCAATACCAAATCAACAGTGATGTGGTCTGAAGGGTATCCCCTCAGCTCAGGAAAATTTTGCAGCTTGTAGCTTAAGCCTATGGTTGATGTTTAGGAAAACCATTTTCTTACCCCCAAAAGCGACTGCTGCTTGTTGATACAGCTGCGTCCTTATTGTTCCAATCGAGCTTGATGGTCAAGAAGGACGTGTTCTCTGAGAAATATTCCAGCCAGTTGGCAAGATGACGTGTGATTCTTCATGCATTTTTGTCCTCTGAGCGATTCAGACCAAGCCAGAATGGGACTTTGCTCGAGCCAGGGGCTAATTGGAGCCGAATGCTGGGTTTGGTTTTCAACTCCCGCGCTCAGACCTAGAATGTGGAAAGCAATCGTAAACAAAAGAAAGTCTCTGAGCATGTGCAGAATGCCATCCTCTCATTGCTTCTAAGTAACAACAAGCAATCCCATCCCCACGTATTTATTTGACTTATTTTATTCAAGAATTTATACCCCGCCTTTCTTTTGTGGCTCAAGGTGGTTTACAAGTAGAAAAGCAAAACATACAAACTATAATAAGATCTCTGATATTTTGAAGAGGAAATCCTGGAGTGCATGGAGCCATTTCCTTAGTGGTGGGCTCCATTACCTGCTCCCTCTAAGCTGTGGAGTCTTGTGAGCAAAAATTCTACTTTGTTTTTGTTTTTTTGTTTTTCCCCCCTGAAAACAGGGTAGCTTTATTTATTTTTGTTACACCTACACAACTACAGAAAATAGAAAAGGGGAGGGGAAAAAAAATAAAAAACCCCAGGGTACAAGACAGCAAATAAAGCAACCCATACTATAACTAAAAGCCCAAGAAAGGAAGGTCTTTAACAGTTAGTGTCCAGTTAGTCATAAAAATAATAACTTTTTGTTTAAGTCAATGAATTCAAGAGTTAGTGAGTCCGTGTTAGTAATTATCTATCTTCTTCTTCTTCTTTTTTTAGTGAGCACAAAGTCTCTTTCATCTTCTTCTTCAGTTGCGGGTCTTTAACTTCTAAAGAGTTACTAAGGTCCCCTTAGCCGCAAATCATATGCATCTCTGGCCGTGCCACCTTCTGCTCCTCCTGGGTCCCCGTCCATCTCTTCCAGAGTGTCTGCTTGGCCCCCTCCATCTGGCTGTTCTTCCCTTTTCGATCCGTGAAACTGCTTCAACCATTCTTCCGCTTTAAAAACCAAGTCAATTTTCTCCCTTTTGTCTTTATATTTAAACACCACACCCTCGGGGAAATTCCAGGAATACGAAATCTGGTTGATCTGGAGGGTTGAAACAAGTTCCTTGTAGGCTTTTCTTTTCTGTCGAATCTCAAATGGGGTGTCCTTTAGGACCCTGATAGTTGTTGCTCCCAGCTGCAGGGGGTTGACTGCTGTCGCTCTGAGAATATCATCTCTCACCTGCCTTCGGAGAAACTTGACAACAATCTCGCCCAGTAGATTATTTTGCTTAATATACTTAGAGTAGGATTGATAAACCACCTCGATCTCTGCTTCTGCTTCTACCGATGAACTGCCGAGCGCCGAAGCGATTAGCTCTGCTATCACTTTCTTCAAGTTTTCTCCTGCCGTTTCAGCAACCCCCTGAAATCTGACAACCTTGTTAGCTTTTTCCATTTGTAGATTTAACAATCTCCTTTCTTGAAGATCTTGTCTTTGTTCCAACAGGCCAACCTTCTTTTTCACCTTTTTGGTATCGTGCATTGTCTCTTTAAGTTTTTCATCTGTTTGGATCGACTTTTTCACCAGCTCGGCAATTTGCTGTTGTTGCTTTGCCAAACTCTGGTTGGATGCAGTCATTTGTTGGTTAATACCATCGAGTCTTTCGTTAATGGGCCGGAGCAGCTCTGATAACATGAAGAACACGTCTCCTTCCTCAATCCTCGGACTTTGACCGCCCCGCCCAACTTGTCTCGCTGCTTTTCCTCTCGTGCCGGCCATTTTCAACTTTGTTTACACTAAGGAACGCCTTTTCGCCCTTTTTCAAACAGCGCAAATTTATCCGCAAAACAGCTAAGTCTTTGGCACACTTTAGCGCTCTTCTTTTCTCCTCCCCCCTCTTTCTCTGTGTCTCAGTTCAGTTTGTTTACGTCTGGGATTGTCTCCCGACGCCGCCTCTGCTGGTGGTGGGGGAGCTAACTTTTAGAACTTTTTTGCTCGGTTTTTTCTCCGATTCATTGACGGTCTACTCACAGATCCCTTGTAGTTACGCTCATTCACTGACCTTCTTGCTTGTCCCGGCTGGCATCAGCTATGCTCGGTAAAAACCGAGCCTCACAGGGGGTGGACCGGTTGGGGCAAAAAGGAGCACCTCAATTCTCCGGCTTCTGCCATCGAAGAGGTCGCCCCCCCAGCGCCCCCGGCTCGGAGCCTTTAACTAAGGCTCACCTGGGGGTGCCACATGAGGTGGCACTCCTCCAACACCCCTGGAGCGCGGATTGCCTCCCCAGCTTCAGGGGAGAGCATCCGCCATTGCTGAGCCGCAGACCGGAAGTCAGCAAAAATTCTACTTTGTGAGCTACTGGCCTTAAAGTTGTGAGCGAGCTATTTGGCTCCTGCATAAATTAGTTTGCTCTGGAGCCATCCTTCCTAAGCGAAGACAAAATAGTTTGAGCTGGAGGCTAAAAAACAGTGAGCTAACTCCCACTAACTCAGCTTAGAGGGAACACCCGTGCCATCTGAAGATGTTCCTCATTTGACTTTCATCCCACATGATGGAGTTCCAGATCACTCAGTCCCATTTCTGGAGCACAGCTGGTGCCTGAGGAATCCTCCAGGGTTCTTTTCCTGGTTCTGAATTTTGTATACACTGGAAATGCATGGTTGGCTTCTGCTTTTAATTCCTTCACATGCTGAGGCCCCTCCCTTCCCCAAACCCCACCCTCTCTTCCAGGCTCCACCCCCCCAAGTCTTCAGGTGTTTCCCAACCCTGAGCTGGAAACCCGATGTATTGGTCTGCAGTAAAACGGTCAGGCCCGAGTCCAGTGGCACCTTAGAGATCAATTAAGGGTTTCAGGGTATGATCTTTCGAAATTCAAGTCTCCCTTCATTAGACAGGAGTAGGAATGGATATCTCAGAGTCCTACACCATGTGGTGTAATGGGTGTTGTAAAGGATGCAGGGGTACCATGTATATTGTAATCAGTTTGATTAGAGTAGAGGGGGAAAGCTGGCTGGCAGAAGATGAGCATTGATAGTGAGATAAGAATCCTGTGTCCTTATTCAGTGTGTGTGTGTGTGGGGTGTCTATTATTCAAGGTTAATTAATTAATTATTGTATGGCAGTGCGTGTAGTATAGCCAGGAGATCCTAAGATTGTCTGGCAGCCAGAAGTTCTAGCTCTTTTAGCATTATGCACCACTTGGTGGTGAGCTAGACTCTTTTTTTTTAAGGCAAGAGACATTTCAGAGGTGGGTTGCCATTGCCTGCCTCTGTGTCACACCACTGGTATTCCTTGGAGGTCACCCTTTGTGCTGCTTAGCTGGAAACGCAATCCGGAATCAGGTTGAACAACAAAGCCAAGGGTCGAATAGCCGGGAAATCAGTTCAAAGTTGCTGGGATCGGGAACAAGGAGCGGTTGCTACACACCAGGGCAGACTTGAGTATGCAGAGTTGCTGCTGCACTGAGGCAGGTGAATGGAGTGTTTATGAGCAGGTTCTCCCATCCTGAGAGTCAAGTCTGCCAAGACTTATTCCTCCCGTTGCCTTTGCAGGAGCTGCGGTCTGGCACTCCTCCTTCGCTCCTGCATAGTCAGGCTCTGGCGTGCCCTACATCTGGGGCACTCAGGAGAACTAGGCGGGGAGTCTGGCCTCGGGGTGTCTGCAACTGGGGGTGCTGGGCCAGGCTCAGGATCGGCCTCTCCTTCTGGCTGCACCTCCTGTGCAGCTGCTGGGGACTCTTCCTCCTCAGGTACTGTTGAGGGTTCTTCTTCTGGGCTGACTCCAGAGGAGGCTGGATTGCTCCCTGCCTCTTCCTCATCTGAGGAGTAGTCAGCCTCAGCAGGCCTAGTACCCACGACACCCTTCCAAACACTAGCCAGGGCCGACCCTGCTTAGCTTCCGAGATCTGACGGGATCAGTCTAGCCTGAGCTATCCAGGTCAGGGTAGTGTGTTCTCTGCAAAAAAAAAGAAAAAAAAAAAGGGAATATCGTATAGATGGCTATTTCCGGAAGGGTTGAGTTTTAATTACCAGGATAAAAAAATATAAAATTCACTCTGTTCCAAAAGCGGATTTATGGATCAAATGTTTAATGTAAAAAAGAAGCAGAAGGAAAAGAATTTAAAAAACGGATGTGGAGGAAGAAGAAGAAGAGGAGTCCTACTCACAGGACTCAACAAGCCAAATCTCCTCGTCATCAGAATAATCTGAATCGGAGAAAGGAGCAGCCGTTCCCAAACTGCAGAAAACGAAGAAATCTAAGAAGAAAATACTCTAAAACTAAAGCATGAGTGCTAAGGGGAGTAATTGTGCTAAGTTAATTTTATAGACTGGGGATACGGGGGGGGGGGCTCTGCAAGTTACCAGGCTGCTTCTTGCTCTGACTGAGAGCTGCTGGGAGCAGGGGGTGGGGCTTGCTGCATGTGCCCGCCCCCCTGGGCTCTTTACTGCCGGAGCTCCGCTCCTGTGCGCTCCTGCAGGAAATGACCCCTGGACTCTTTATCCCTTCCCCACATCCAGTAGGAGATTTAGAACAGAATCGTAGTTTTTCCTCCCCCTATCCAGTAGATTATATTTATCTAGAATTCCCTGACCTCATTTCCCATAGTAATAGTGATAGGGCATTAGTATTCATTTCCCTATTCCATATATGTAGTGTGTAGAAAATGCAAAAATAAAAAAATTCCCCTTTGGGCGCCCCCCCCCCAAAAAAAAAGAGAGAGAGAAAGCAGAGACAAGAACAGAGTGTCCTCCTTGTTCAGCATCCTAGGGGTTCTGACAGGGAAGTGGCGGTGGAGGGCATGGAAGTGAGCAGAGTTAACCCCCTCCTCCCCCCAGCCCCCCCATCTGTGATTAGGCCATGCACAGGTGCTGCCTGCAGCAGAAGAAAAAGAGTTGGCTTTCATACTCAGCTTTTCTCTACCCTAATTCCTTCACGTCCTTCTCTCCCCTCCTACATTACACATGGCTTAAACATTACCCCAAAAAGCCCGATCATGATTAATTGTCCTATTTCATCAAGTACACCTGCATACATTAATAAAACACTGTTCAAAAAAGCAATTTTAGTGAGATTGTATCTTTGGTTGGGTTGAGATTCTTTTTTTTTTTTCTTTTTTGGCCAGTGTGTAGGAATACAAGGGCACACCGGCAGAACACTGCGCAAAAGGATTTTTGATGAAAATTATTATATTGAGAGTGCTTTTTTGCAGTGTTTTAGCAACGTTCATGTGTGCATCAGTAGCAAAGAGGAGAAATGACGTGCAAATGAACTATGGGGAGCTGTGTGTGCCCCAGTTTTGAAAAAAGTGTTAGGAATTCTGCCAGTTAAACTTGTATTTAGGAGGAATGAAACACAAGGCAGGGTGAACACAGAGAACAATAATGAAACAGAAAAAAACCCATTTGTCCTTACTCTGTTACATTAAGAGCTAAGACCTTAGCATAAAGGACAGCTTCTAAAACTGCATCAGGATAGTTTCAGAGGATAACCATATTGGTCTGCGACAGAAGAGTTAGGCTTGAATGACACACACAAAATAATCCACTTTCAATCCACTTTCAATGTACTTTCCAACTGGATTTTACTGTGTGAACTGGCAAAATTCAGTTGGGAAGTGCATGGAAAGTGCATTGGGAGTGGATTATTTTGTGTGTGTGATCACAGCCTTGGATTTGAATCCAGTAGCAGCTGCAATGGCTCAAGTGGTTAAGACGCTGGACTGCAAACCAGAAGGTCGGTAGTTCATCAGTTCGAGACCTGAGTGCTGCATGACAGAGTGAGCTCCCGTCTCTGGTCCCAGCTCCTGCCAACCTAGCAGTTCAAAAGCAAGAAATTGCAAGTAGATAAATAGGTACTGCATCAGTGGGAAGGTAACAGTGTTCCGTGCGCCTCGGTGTCTAATCATGCCGGCCACATGACAACGGACAGCGCTGGCTCTTCGGCTTGGAAACGGAGATGAGCACCGCATCCCTAGAGTCGGATTCGACTGGCTTTCGAGCAAGGGAAACCTTTACCTTAACCTAGCAGTTTAGAGACCAACAAGCTTTCAAGAGTCAAAGCTCCCTTCGTGAAGCTCTTGTTTGTCTTTAAGGTGCTACTGGACTCAAACTGAACAGTAAAACAACATCATTTCTTAACTGCATCATTTGTTTCCGCTTCCAACATAATAGGTGCCAGGACAGAAGACGCATGAGATTGCTTGCTCTGTTGGGGAACCTCTAGAACCCCGTGCCTAAAAATTTGCTTTGGGAACTGTAGAATCCATAATCCCAACTATCTGGAGGCTGGTTGTAATTTCTTGATGGGAAGAGAACGGCACTCTGCACCTGCATGAGTTGTTGTTGTTGTTTTTTGTTGTTGTTTTTTAAGACTAAGGAGAAAGGAAAGTAACCCACACTAAACTAAAAACCCAAGAGTAGGAGATCATTACCCTGTTAGACTGCAGTTAGTAATGAAAAAAACCCTGTTAATAAACAATATACTTTGTGAGTCTTTCTAAGCTTATGTGTTAGTTTATTGCTTGTTATGAGAAGATTTCCAGAGCATCTCCTCCAGCTCTCTTCGCAAGGGCAATTTTCAGAGTCCTTCCGCCTTTACATCTATGCTAATTCTCTCTAAAGTCTTGATGGCTTCTTAGACGTTCACTCGAAATTCTGCAACCCTCCTCCGTCTCCAAAGGGATAACACCGCCAAGGGATAACACGGCCTATATACCTTCCCTTCTATCATAGGTAAGATTGTTCATACTTGGTGGCCCAACATCTCTGTTTGAACATTTGCAGGGTTACCAGGATCCACTGGGAAACCGGGAGTCCAAGGCCCGAAAGGTGAAAAGGGAGAAATTGGTGACAGAGGGCCAGCTGGACCACCTGGTGAGTCTCAAGAGGACATCCCCAAATGATGAGGGCAAGAAATTTAAGGGGTAGTTGATGTACTATGTTGATCTTAGGGTTGACAGCTCTGGGTGGAGAAATACCTGGAGATTTTGGGGGTGGAGCCTGGGGAGGGTGGGGTTTGGGGAGGGGAGGGACCTCAGCAGAGTACGATATCATCGCGTCCCCCCTCCCAAGCAGCCATTGTCTTCAGGGGAACTGATTCTCTGTTGTCCGGAGAGCAAATGTGACAGTGGGAGATTTCTGGGTCCCACCTGGAGGTTGCCAACTCCAGTGGCTCTGCTTAAGCGCTTGTTTCCAGTGAGACCTGCCGCACGAGAACTCTACTTGTTGAAAATTTGGAAGGTTGTCTTGTGGTAGGTAGAGAAGACAGGGAAGTGTGGGTATACGGATGAGCGGATCTCCCCCACAGCATTCTTTTATCATCCCACAATGTCTCCGGGTTAGGTGTTCCACCTCTCTCAATTCCCGTTTCATTTGGGGAATTTCTAATATTGTTTCCAGAACTGGAGCATGCGCAGTTGCTGCAGCTTTCGGTTCATTTATATACCTTTTCTCGTGACTAATGATCTCGCCAGATCCTGGAAGCTGAGCACTGTCAGTGCTTGGATGATGAGGCTCAGTGGTCACCTGACAGCCATGCTGATTCTGTGAACTTGGGCAGATCACGAGAGGGAGGGCAGGGAGAGTTGCATCAGCGCTTAGTTCTCGTGGCCCTTTCTTACACGCCCAGGGAAATGCTGGGGTCAGGCAGCAATTTTTCTCCAGGCCGGTTTGGCCGGGGATCCTGGAGGTTCTTTGCCATCTTCTGGGCATGGAACTGGGGTCACTGGGTGTGTGTGTTGGGGGGGGGTTTGTGAATTTCCTGCATTGTGCAGGGGGTTGGACTAGATGACCCTGGAGGTCCCTTCCAACTCCACGATTCCACCCAGGAAGTCCCAGGCTGCTGTGCACCTCAGCTCATCTCTTGCCTTGAAAACCCCATGAGGTGGAACTTTATGGTGTAGCTGTGAGTTGGTTGTGACTCAACAGCACACTTTACCTTTATCTGATGTACCTGTGCAGACTGGCAAAACATTGTCAGTGATGCTCCACAATGACCTTGGCATTACTGAGTTTACATACAGTGGCTTATCCTGGTATGAGGGAGGTTTGTAAACAGGGGAAACTGGCCCTTTAACTTGCCAGGAAAGTTCCCCAGAGGAGGACTACTGAGCTGAGTCCCATTGGTGCTGGCCAAATCAGCTTGTTCCTGGGCTCTTTAATGCCCCGGCTCATTCCAGTGTTATAAAATTAAGCATGGAGTGAAGAAAGCAGATAGAACTGTTTATACCTCTCCCCCAACACTCAAACTCAGGGGACACTGGATATGGAGGGGGGGAGGGTTGTATTTGTGTGTGTGCGCACGCACACACCTGGAAGTCATGTTGACGTCTGGTGACTGACCCCTCCTGGGGACCTGGAGGATATTCAGAGAGGCGGCTGAATAAAGCCTGCCCCCACCTCCCGACTGCTGGTATTTCGAGGAGGTCTCCCATCCAAGTACTTGCCAGAGTCGACCCTGCTTAGCTTCTGAGATCTGACGAGGTTGGGCTTGCCTGGGCTATCCAAGTCAGGCTGGCATCTGATATAGCTGATGCACAGTAGATTCAAGGTGGACAAAGGCGCTTAGGGCTCTTTAGCTTGGAGAAACGACGGCTGAGGGGTGACATGATTGAGGTTTATAAGATGATGCATGGGAAAGAGCAGGTAGAGAAAGAGGTACTTTTCTCCCTTTCTCACAATACAAGAACTCGTGGGCACTCCATGAAATTGCTGAGCGGTCGGGTTAGAACGGATAAGAGGAAGTACTTCTTCACCCAAAGAGTGATTAACACTTGGAATTCACTGCCACAGGAAGTGGTGGCGGCTACAAGCATGGACGGCTTCAAAAGGGAATTAGATAAGCATATGGAGCAGAGGTCCATCAGTGGCTATTAGCCACAAGGTATAGATAGGGACTCTGGGGCAAGTGATGCTCTGTCATCTTGGTGCTTGGGGGGGGGGTCAACAGGGGGAGGGCTTCTAATGTCCTGGCCCCACTGGTGGACCTCCTGATGGCACTGGTATTTCTGGCCACTGTGTGATACAGAGTGTTGGGCTGGATGGGCCTTTGGCCTGATCCAACATTGGCATCTCTTATGTTCTTATGTTCTTAAACATGAAGCACTTCTTCATACAGATTTTGTCTGAATTTCAGGGCTTCTTGGACCTCCAGGACCCAGGGGCTATCCAGGTGAGAGTGGAATCCCAGGTCCACCTGGACCTCCCGGACCCCCAGCATCGCCAAGCCTCCCCTTACCATTTCAGCAAGGGGTTCTGTACTCGCTCCAGCCCACAGCTGAAAAAGAAAGTACGTCATCTTCGTTTTGAACTAATCTCTTAGGCCTGTTCACGTGCTGACCGATGTGTGTCCATCAGCTCTGTCTGAGCCATGGAAGAGTTTTTAGGGGATGAACCATCTGTTTTCAACTGATTGAAGCTCCGGCAGCTTTAAAAGGGATCTGGCAAATTCAGGGAAGAGGGAGGCCTGTCAATGGTGGCGATGGTAAAATGGAGCCTCCAGTTTCAGAGGCAGAATACCTCTAAACACTGCTGGGGGTGTTGAGAGGGAAGGGCTGTTGATTTCATGGTCTCCTTGTGGACTCTCTGGATCCCTCTGTTGGCTACTGTGGGAAACAGGATGCTGTTCTAAGATGGACCCTTCATCCGATCAAGCAAGGCTCCTCTTGTGTTCTGATAGTTAGGACTGTTTTGAGTTAGGACTCCATGTTTGGAGGCAGTGTACCTCTGAATACCAGTTGCTAGGGTTACAACAGGGATGACACTTTTGTTGCTATGACCTGCTGGAGGACCTTCCAGGTGCATTTATTTAGCCACTACGGAAAACAGGATGATGAGGAAGAAGAGAGATTGGATTTATACCCCACCCTTCACTACCTGAAGGAGTCTCAGAGGGGCTTACAATCTCCTTTCCCTTCCCTTCCTACAACAGACACCCTGTGAGGTAGGTAGGCTGAGAGAGCTCTTTCGAGAACTACTCTTGAGAGAACAGCTCTGAAACAACTTGTAAGTGACCCGAGGTCACACCAGCAGCTGCATATGGAGGAGTGGGGAATCAAACCCGGTTCTCCCAGATTAGAGTCCACACTCCTAACCACTACACCAAACTGGATGCCACTGGATGGACTAGATGGCCCTGACACTCCATATGTCCGTGGATTCCTTCTGCCTCCACGTCTTTCCAATTTAACATGGAACATTTCACAACCTCATTCTTTGCTTATTAAAATATTTATACTCTGCCTTTCCCACCATTGAACAGCGGCTCAAGCTCTCTGCTCATTGAGAGTCTGTTTTATTTCCCATCCAGGATACCAATGCACTCAAGCTCTTGTTGATGCTTCAGGGTGCCCAAATGCATTTTTGCTGATGCACGAGCACAAGGCCAAGAAAGAACGCTACAGGCATCGGTAACCTGGAGGGGAATGAAAGGAGATGCAAATGAACACAGGGAGGCTACCAAAAAAAAAATGTGCACGTGGAGCAGCCCATGTGAGGACCAGAAGTGTTTTTTAACCATGGAGGAAGAGCCAAAGTTGCCTCTGCAAAGGAGCCTGAGTAATTTACTATACTGAGTTACACCCTTCTAAGTCCACTAAAGTCAATGCACTTAGAAAGGTGTGACTCGGCTTAGGATGGTGCAGCTAAAATCCTAAAACTGGTGGTGGTGGGGATTTCAGATGGGGACAGTTTCACTTGCCTCCTTGACTTTATCATGCATTGAATCCCCCCCCCTCCCCGCCACAGTAAAAAGTCTGGTCCATCCATCAGCTCCACCTCTGTCCTCTGCATGCCAGTCACTGAAGCGCAGCCATACCAATGGGAACATTAGGAAGGGGAACAGAGCTCTTTTGAATTAATCATCTCCAGCTCCCCAGCACTGCTTCCTCTTCCCTCGCCAGGCATGTGTGTCTGCGTGGGAGAAAGGTCTGGATGCATTTTTAATCGGCCAAAGATCTCAACAGCCTCTCTGTACGCTAAATTATTTATATTGTGGTGAATGAGTTACAGCCCAATACATAGATTTTTCTGGGCAACATGAAGAGGGCAATGACAGCCCTCTTCTATTACAAACAATGGATTTAGTTTTTTTGCATGTATCCAGTTTGTTCATTTTGGCTTCTTGGGGCATGCTTGTTTGCTGGCTGCTTTAATACTTAGCAAAATGCCATCATTGTACTGGTTGGAGGAGAAAGTGTGCAAGGGGGCAGGCTGCCACCCTGCCCAACTTGCCACAGGTCAAGACATTGCAAAAGTATCTACATGAAGGAATCCTCAAAAACTGGCTCCAGTCTATAATACAGCAACTCGATTACTAACTGGGACGTGCTAAATGGATTATACCATCTCAGGACAGGCAAGACGTTCTGCATCGCCCAATGCAAGAAATATCTTATGGAACTCACTTCTGTGAGATGCAGTGAGGTCTGTTAACTCAGATGGCATTAAAATGGAATCAGATCTATGCAGGGAAGGTAGATCGATCAACCACAGGTGGGAGCTATTGCTGTCACGCTCACCCTGTGCATTTCCAGGAAGCATCATTGTGGCCACTGTTGGAGATAGGATGCTAGATTACAGGAAGTGGTGGCGGCTACAAGCAGGGCCAGCTCGCTCACTAGGCAAACTAGGCACTCGCCTAGAGCGCGCCGGCCCTTAGGGGCGCCAAACTGGCACACACACACCCCGTCCTGGTTCAGCTGCAAACACTACTGAGTTTTAAACATGTTATGATCTTTCTGATGATATAAACACCAATTCCACCAAAGAACTTAGCCCTCTGGGCACAGAAGGGTCACTCAGCTGAATCAAAGAAGAACCTAAGTAGGGGGGCTATTACATAAGGACACTCAAAATGCAACTGGCTTATGGCAACCCCAGCAAGGAACTGTCAAGGCAACTGAGAAGCAGAGGTTGTCTGCGACTGCAAGTGCCTTTCTTTGCAGAGTCTTCCTTGGTGGAAGCCAGATGTGCAAAGCAGGCAAAGTTACAAAAGCAAAATTGAGTGTTAAGAGTATGGGTGCCAGGGGAACGGGAGGTCCGGGGTACACATCCAATTAATGGGTCCAAGCCATGGTGGGTGCACGGAGGGGCGGGCGCCAGAAGGGATCCTTGCCTAGGGTGCAAAATAAGCTGGGGCCGGCCCTGGCTACAAGCATGGACGGCTTCAAAAGGGAATTAGATAAGCATATGGAGCAAAGGTCCATCAGTGGCTGTGAGCCACAAGGTATAGATAGGGGCTCTGGGGCAAGTGATGCTCTGTCTTCTTGGTGCTTGGGGGGGGGGGTCAACAGTGGGAGGGCTTCTAACGTCCTGGCCCCACTGCTGGACCTCCTGATGGCCCCTGGCATTTTTGGCCACTGTGTGACAGAGTGTTGGACTGGATGGGCCTTTGGCCTGATCCAACATTGGCGTCTCTTATGTTCTTATTAGGTAGATTTTTAGTTTAATCCGGCAAGATTTTCTCTTATGTTAGCGGTCTTAAATTGTAACACCAGATCGTGGCAACGTTGTGTATCGTCTTTTATGCTTAGCTCATCTAGCTGGACATACGTGGGAGAAGCAGGTTCTCTGGTGGCCAATAAAAGCCGGCTTTTTCCAGGTTGCTCTTTTTTAAACCGTGCAGATCTGAAAACCATCAGCATGAAATTCTAAGCTATGGACAGCAGAGGGTGGCAAATTCCAGTTAATGGGACTTCATTGGCTGCCTGCAATTACCACTGGTATAACATTGACCTCCCCCCCCCACACACACTTCTGCCTGGTTGTAGCTGACCCCAGCATCCTTCTGCGGCAGCCTTTGCTCACAGCAGGCAGATTAAAAAGCTTTTTGCACTTAAGTCAGAAGCAACTGGACAGCATTTAATTCATACACATGATAGGAAACTCTGCCCGTGGGCTCAAGCTGTTTTGTTGGTGCTTCGTTTGCTCCACCCCACCCCCCCAAGGGATGCTGACTTCCAGGTGGTGGCTGGAGATCTCCCGCTATTACAACTGATCTCCAGGCAATAGGGATCAGTTCACCTGGAGAAAATGGCCGCCTTGGAAGGTGGACTCTATGGCAGAATCCCTGGCTGAGGCCCCTCCCCTCCCCAAACCCTGCCCTCCCAAGACTCCGCCCCCAAATCTCCAGTTGTTTCCCAACCCAGAGCTGGCAACCCTTTCCATCCCTCTCTGTTGTTATTGGTCCCTGTCCTTTGGGAGGCCTGTGTAAAGTTCCAGTTTGGTGTAGTGGTTAAGTGCCAGTTTGGTGTAGTGGTTAAGTGTGTGGACTCTAATCTGGGAGAACCGGGTTTGATTCCCCACTCCTCCACTTGCACCTGGCTGGATGACCTTGGGCAAGCCATAACTCTGGCACAGCTGTTCTTGAAAAAGAGCAGTTTCTGTCAAGAGTTCTCTCAGCCCCACCTGCCTCACAGGGTGTCTGTTGTGGGGAGGGGAAGGGAAATGAGTTTGTAAGCCGCTCTGAGACACCTTTGGGTAGTGAAGGGCGGGTTATAAATCCAATCTCTTCTTCCTCCTCCTCCTGGCAAGTAACTTCCTCTGTGCAGCAAAGCACTTCTGAATTACACTTAAGAACATAAGAAGAAGAAGAGATTGGATTTATACCCTGCCCTGGAGTCTCAGAGCAGCTTATAAACTCCTTTCCCATCCCCTCCCCGCAACAGACACTCTGTGGGGGAGGCGGGGCTGAGAGAGCTCTGACAGGAACTGCTCTTTTTCAAGAACAGCCGTGCCAGAACTATGGCTTGCCCAAGGTCATCCAGCCAGGTGCAAGTGGAGGAGTGGGGAATCAAACCCGGTTCTCCCAGATTAGATTCTGCGCACTTAACCACTACACCAAACTGGCTCATAAGAACATAAGGGAACATAAGAGAAGCCAATGTTGGATCAGGCCAATGGCCCATCTAGTCCAACACGCTGTCACACAGTGGCCAAAAATACCAAGTGCCATCAGGAGGTCCGGCAGTGGGGCCAGGACACTAGAAGCCCTCCCACTGTTCCCCCCCCTCCCAAGCACCAAGAATACAGAGCATCACTTGCCCCAGCCTGAGAGTTCCTATCTATACCTTGTGGCTCTGATTGGACTTCTGATGGATTTCTGCTCCATATGTTTATCCAATTCCCCTTTGAAGCCATCCATGCTTGCAGCCGCTGCCACCTCCTGTGGCAGTGAATTCTATGTGTTAATCACTTCACGGAGTCTGCTCTGGCCGGTTCTCATACTCCAGCCATCTCTGTTTTCCAGTACATTTTAGGGAGATTCAGGCATCAGAATGTTTGGCGTGAGTTGCTCACTGGCATTGCCACACTTCAACCTTCTCCTTTCCCGAGGTCTCTAAAAATGGAGTCTTAAAGTGCGGAGTTTGTCTCTAAATTGTGTGTAGGCCAATGCATACACACAGACAGGAACTGCTGGGCATCTTTCCCCCCCAAAATATTAACCTTTGAGATGAGATTTGATGAAGATTGCTAAATAAATTAATTGTACCAGATTTACTTCCATGAGCGCTGCTGGGCTGCGTTAAATTACAATTGCCCTTCCTGGTTTATACTCAGCCTCCCCCCAAAACAAAAACATCAAACCCAATCAGCAGTAAGAAATTATTCGCATTAGTGTCATGCCTTGACTGTAGTTGAAGAAACTGAGCAGATTTCACCCCATTCTGTTCGTTTAGGGTTCTGGGATTTCTCTGAGCAGCACTCCTCTGTGATTCAGGTGAGCTAGGAGAAGTCTACAATTACAACACGTACCGTTTGCTGTAGTTTCCGATTCATTCAGGTCTTTCTCCCCTTCATATTAACATCAAACTCGTGTGCACTGATAAATCATAGCAAAAAAAAAAAGGAAGGAAGGAAGGAAGGAAGGAAGGAAGGAAGGAAGGAAGGAAGGAAAAATCCCAGTTGCTTGAAGAGTCTTTTTCTGCAGTGTTTACTAACGTGCACATGCACCCCTGCACAACAGAGAAATCCTACACCGAAAGAACCTTGATGCAACTCTATGCAGAACCAGATCAAAATTGTTCTTTTATAGTGTTTTGGCAATGTGTTTATGCACTTCAGTAGGTGTAGGAATGGGGGAAAGATGAAGGCTGAACAGAAGGAACTGAGAGTTGGGGTCAAACTGAGTGTGCACAGCACCATGTGGAAAATCCAGAAGTTACAGAACAGAACAGAACGACAGAGGATTCCTAATAGGTCAGTTTCACTTTGGAGATAAGACCACATGATTTGGAACTCCATAATCTGGGGAGAAATTCAGTGGCAGAGAACTTTGTAGTGCGGTCCCCACCAGGGACATTGGTAGAATACATGCCAGTTCACAGAATGGAATCCAGTATATTCGAGAAATCCCTGATGATTTTAAAGTAGGTTTTTTTAAAGCATGCTTCTAGCTCTCATAATGCTAAATAAATGGATCACAGGATCATGCAGTTGTAAGCAGCCTTATGGGCCTTCTAGTCTAACGTACTCCTCGATGCTAAAAGATGTTCACGTGTGAAAACAGCTGTCTTCTGGGGGTGGGGAAGAATGGTGGATTGTAAAAGAAATACTGAACTTGCAAAATGGGCATTCCTTCCTGCTCGGGTCTGTCTGAAGAGGTATTTATGGTTGTATTTCTATCCTGCTTTTTTGTTCTCATGCTCACAGTGGCTACCCGTATCGAACAAGATGATTGTGAATTGATCCGCTGACTTCAAGGATCTTTGGTAACATTCTCCTTTTTCTCTCCCATACAGATGGAGAACCTCAGCTAGCATCCACCGTCATTGATACTGTCCTGGCTGGTTTGCCTGGGCCACGGGGCGCTCCAGGACCTATTGGACCCCCAGGTAACAATGAGGCAAAGGAGACATGCAGCTCCCCCTCCATGGCTCTTTGGAGGTTGTGAGTGAGTTACTTCACTTATAGTCTGCTTTTCTCATTGAGTCTCAAGGGGGCTTATTACACAATTAAAGCAACACCAGTAGAATAAAGGTTGAGACTAGTGCAGGGGTAGCCAAACTTGCTTGATGTAAGAGCCACATAGAATAAACGTCAGATGTTTGAGAGCCGCAAGATATGAACAAATGTTTTTATTGGAAAATATGCAAATTTGCTTTTCATTAATATTAAATTGATAACTTTAGATGGGGAGGGAGGGGAGAAAGAGAGCGAAAAAGAAAGGTGGAAAGAAAGTGGAAAGAAAGCAAATAGATGGAGGGGAGGTGGAAAGAAAGCAACTTTAAATGTGTCCTCCATGTCCCCGCCCCCCCGCCCCCATGCCGGCTAGCTTGGCTTGGAGAAGGGATTTAAAGAGACAAATGCCTTCTCCAAGCCGGGGGGGGGTAGCTTTGAGAATGTTCAAGTTGCTTTCTTTCTCTGCACTGGCAGGGGAAGGGAAGACCAATTGGGGAAGTATGCCTCCCCTTTGCTTCCCCAGCCACTGTAGCGGGAGCAGCACAATATGTACGAAAGAGCTGCATGTGGCTCTCGATGGTCTAGTGGCACCTTTAAGACCAACAAAGTTTAATTCTGGGCATAAGCTTTCGTGTGCATGCACACTTTTTCCGATACATGCACACATAAGTTTATACTCAGAATTAAACTTTGTTGGTCTTAAAGGTGCTACTGGATTCAAACTTTAGGCCATTCTGCATTGGCTTTCCCCTCCATTGTTTTACCAAACCCACATTGGAACAGAAATTCCCCTCTGCATTGAACGCCGCTTTCCCTTTCTTTGATCATCGGATTTTATGGTGCCTTCTGCGTAGATTTATGGCCATTCAGGGGTGACTTCTCAATCAGTATGGCATTGCCCTGGGGTATCTGAATGTGCTTTTGAGCTGCACCTTTGGTAAAACGACGGAGGGAAAAGCCAGGGCAGGATCGCCCTTTTGCTCTGTGGCTTCAGAACAATACGGCCACCCACCCGAGAGCAGTAGAACACAAACTAATTGCTGGGCCAGTGCTTGGCGATCTCAGGAGTTTCTGGAAGCAGAGAATGGGAGCAGGAGTAATTATTTATTTATATTTAAATTTATATCCCGCCCTCCCCGCCGTGGCGGACTCAGGGTGACTAACCACATATGTATAAATGTATACATTAAAACTCCAATATATATACTAAAAACAACATTAGATTAAGATTGCAATATAAAACACACTAGAAATAAGGCCCGTTGTGGAAATAAATACAAAGGGAGCTAGAAAGAGGCTCTGGGAGAGTGCTCTGGCTTTGGGCAAACAGTGTCAGTTTGCTGTGGCGACCTCAGCAGGGTATAATGACAGAGTCCACTGTTTTCTCCAGAGGGACTGATCTGTGCTACCTGAAGAGCAGTTGTAATTTTGAGTGATCTCTAGCCCTCACCTGGAGAGTGGCAACAATTGTTACCCAGGCTCCACCCCTCAAATCTTCAGGAATTTCCATACCTAAAGCTGGCAATGCACCAAACAATTCCTAAAGATTTTCCAAAAAACTACTCTGTCGATACATTGTAACACTTTGAATTAGCACCAGAGCTTTAAGTGCTCTCCAGCTGTCACCTGGAGACTGGCAACAGCTTGTTTGGAGGGTGGGGAGTATGGCATTGTATCTGTCTGAGGTCCCCCTCTTCCTCCGCCTCCTCAGACCCCACCCACAGCAGGCTGCATCCCTAAAATATCCTGGAAGTTTCCAACCTGGAGTTGGCAACCCTATGTCCTTTCCAGGCAACCATCAGCCTACCTCTATCTGCCTGTCTGTCTTCAGGTTTACATCCCCCCCCCAGTCTCTGCCTAGGGAAAGGGCAGTCTTTCCCTGCA